GAATTCAGTGTCTCACTTACGCTAGCACTCATATTGTCACTCATTGTATGCTAGTTTTTAAATTATTCGTACTTTTACATTACTGTTTTTTAGCTTCCGCACTGTGCACATGGCTACGTCACTTCCACGTGACGGCCAGCATGCCCTGATCTCGGTCGGGGTGTGTTCTGCAAAATAATTAAAACCTTAAATAAATTGGTTTAATCCATTCAATTATTTAAAAACCCAAACAAGAATTAAAACCTAATTAAGTCCAAATAGATAACTTATAAAAAAAATAAAAAAATAAAAAAAATAAAAAATAAACCTTAAATTTAAATATTGTTCTCAAAAACTTAAATTTAAAACTACTATTTCGATGGTGCTCCATTCTGTTCGACATCATAACGCCACCAATTGTAACATCCCTTTAACGCATCCTCCATTAACTTCATCAACTGTTCGTTCATTTCATCATCAAGAGTATACTTCCACTGTTACACATATATGCAAATAATTAATTCCAACATATAACAAAAATTTTCACAAAATTACTTATTGATTCATCAACAATATACTTACTAATAATTCATCCATCACTGCCTTCTTCGCATTTTCGGGCACAAATTTCTTAGAGCGCCATTCAGCAGTAGGACAATTATTTCGCATGGCTACAACAATCGCATGCATGAATGCAAAATGTTGCCTCAAATCATATGGATTAGCAGCGGGCACGCTCTGATCCTTGTTTTTATCCTCCATCTTAGCACGAACAAAATTGTGATGAATAAGGAGAATAAAATTATGAAGAATAAGGACAGCAAAAGCACATATTTATAGGAAGGTTAGGGCCTTTGCGCGACGAAGGCTTCGTCATGCAAACATCTGTATTAAATGCAGTATTGATTCCTTTGATTCACTTGCATGAATGGTTTGAGTGAAATGTGACAGCAACTTGCACGATGGACCTTTTGTCGCGCAAAGGTCTAGTTTTCGTCTCACAAGGTGTTTGCGCCAAAAAAAATTACCATGCATTTTCCTTGTTGACTTTACGCGATGACAATGCTTATTCTTCGCGCAATTTTTTTTTCTTTCCTATCTTTTTTGCACGATGACACTTTTTTTGTCGCGCAAAGACCTCTTGTGTGATGAAATTTGCTTCGTCACACAAGCTATTTTTTCTACTAGTGTTCCATAAACGTTAATTCTAGTAACAAGTCTCTTGGCTTTCGTTCATTGTTCTTTTGCTAAGCTAGTTGTTGGCTATCCCACATCGGTGAGGAAAAGAATAAAGAAAGAGTTTAAATATGTTTACCCCATTCTAACTAATACAGGGAATGGTGATGTTGCCCATTTTTCAGTATTAGTGTCTGCTTATTTCTTCATTAAGTGCAGGCTCTGTTAGGCTTTCACTTGAACTTGAAACCTTGAGTCTGATTCTTTTCTAACTGGCTTAGTTGGCTTGCTAGGAAAAGGAAAAACTAGGTTTGTTCTCTCTCAAACTAACCTAGGTGAACTTGAAAGACTGTGAGCTTGGATCTTGAGGCTCCCAAGCAACCCAAAGTCTTCCATAATTTTGACTCCACATAAGCCCAATAAACTTTTGTAAACACTCACACCACAATTCACTTGGCAAGTCTTGGCATGTGACTTGGGCTTATTTTAGCATGAATAGTAGTCAGCTTGATAGAGCTTGGCGTGACGAATATGCGTGGAATAGCATGGGCATGGTGTGATTTATACTAACATCCAACTTATTTATCATAGTGTGGCATGGTTATAAAAATTTTCCTATCTCTATTCTGCACCTTTGCATGTATTAGTCTTAACTCGGGGTTTGTACGACAGTTGGACCTTGACTTGATTGGGCTTGCATGTGACATTTTTAGGCCTAAACAACCTTCTAATTACTGGCTGACACACCCCACCAAAATTTTACTTGCTAATTATTCAACAAGAAGGCCTTAATATTGCTTGTTTGCCTACATGTGAGAAAGTGAAAAGAAGAATTAGTGCACCATATAGGCTGTAGGACTTGAACTTTGGTTATTCAAATTAAAAAAGGAAGCCAACATAAGTTTTAGAAAAACTAAACCATGCCTTCTAATTACATCCCATATTTCATGTTTGATTCATCTAGGAACATCATTCTGGTCAAATTGTTATATTGTTAGGGTAGTGCTATTTATACGTTCATTTTTACTTCTCACAAATTATCTCAATTTTTAATTGTCAGTTCCAAAAAATTAACAAAGGTGTGTAGGAAGTAAAAATGAGTGTGTAAATACTACTATCCTGTTTATATTTTGCAAATGATTATATCAGATGTTTTGGTTTTTGGGATTAAGGTTTTGTGAAGTTTAAAGCAAATATTTCGTTTTCATTACCCATAAAGCCAACAAGCCCATAAATTTAGGATGATGCTATCCACACTCCTAATTTTTTATTGTTTGATCAAATGAATTGAAGAAGATCAATGAACAAAACTTAACAAGATTGTGTAAAGGTAAAAATGGAATGTGTGAATAGCACTATCCTAAATTCAATAATTGCCAATTCTAGGGTAAATTTCTTTATTGGGCCAATATATAAAGTTCCTGCATTATGCTTAAGGCTCAAACCATGAATCTTTGGCAAAAATTGAGGTAGGGAATCACGTATGTTTATATTCATCCAATGCCCATATTGAGAGAATTATTTTGTTCATATTGGAAAATATTAGAAACCCAACAATTTTTATTCGACAACCAACTATCCTTTACTACGCCAATCCTTTCTCGTCTAATAATTAATAATTTAATCCACTAATGCTACTGTTTGTAAAAAAATAAAAATAAAAATAATAAAATAATAAAAAAGGATAAAAAATAAATAAAAAACCAATGTTGCTTGGGAAATTTGAAAATTTTATTCTTTAGGGTAGCAAAAACACTTTTGTCCTCCATTTCAAATTTGTTTTAGAATTGTCATTTTTTTAGTGTGTAAAAACTTAACCGACCTTATAGTTTTGATTGGATTAAAAAATGACAATTCTAAAAAAAAAAAATGAAGAAGATATTAAATAATATGATACCATGCAAATATAACACTCGAGAGAGTCTTCATTTTTTTTTTTTTTTTCTTAATTTAGCCCGGCGTGAGGCGAGTTAAATAGCTAGGTTCGTTACCTTGGAGTAAAGGGACATAAAATATAGTACTTTTACCAATTGGTTTGGTAATTCAAAATACAATTTTTGAAGTTGTGGGAGGAGCAAGCTCTTGGAGTCACCTTAAGCAGTGAGAGAGAGTGAGGTAATTCAAAATACAATTCTTGTATACTGTTCAAACAGAAATCTTGTATAATATTTGGGTGAGCAGTTGTTTTTGTTGAAGAAAAGTAACGGACGAGAAAAGAAAAAAGAGATTTTTTTTGAAATGTCATATGAATTCATACTTATTTTTTAATTTGTCATATGAATTTTCTGAAATCATTAATTTGTCATTTTGCCTTAATTTCATTAAGTGTTACATTCAAAAAATGGTTATCTCGGAATTTTGACCTCATTTTTCACACTACTTGAAATTATCATTTTCTAGATGAATGTTTACTGACGAACTAATTTTCATCATGCAAAGTAACTTTACCCGACGGAATAAAACATTTGGTCAGGCAAAAGTAGTCAACATTTTGGTTTATTTCAGAATTTGGGCCCGACAAAAGACATTCGACAGACAAACTATTGAGCAAAATTTTTTATTGATGAACCAATTTTCATTAGGTAAAGTAACTTTACCTGATAGAATAAAAACAGAATAAAACTTTTGGTCAGGCAAAAGTAGTCAATATTTTGGTTTATTTCAGAGATGTGCTCGATGAAAGATGTTCGACATACTATGCATCGTCGCGCAAAATTTTGGCGCCAAGGAAAACAATGGCATGGATATGCCACATTTTGCCCAACAGAAATAAGTTCGTTGGTGCAGGTAAGTACGCTCGCCGAAATATTTGTCTGGCTAAGTATATGAATCATAGGGCAAAGATTCATAACGACCTGTCACAAACCATACTAACAAATTTTAGCTCAACAACTTTAGTGGCTTTGCCTATGAAGTATTCCGTCGGGCAAACTCCAGTTCATTAAAATAGGTCGTGCGACCTTCCTTTTCCTTTTCCTTCTCTTTTCTTCGTTCTTTCCCAGCTCTTTGTGCTTTCTACTCTCTCTCACTCACACCCATCTCATGCCAATATCTCACTCTCCCACTCCCAGCTAATTTAAGGTTTTTTTTTATTTTGTTTAATTGTGTAATTAATTTAGCTTGTTGTAGGTTTGTGATTTGTGGGACCATAATTTTCCAGGGCTAAAGTATGACGGATCAAAATGCGAATACCTTAAAAGTCTAGTCATAGACTCAACAACTCTTATTAGACTAAGCTGCACAAATAGACTAGTGATGCCACCATTATCCTGTGTTCTAGAAGGCTAGGCAAAGTCTGCCGACTTCACTAAGATTGATCATTCTTGTTCCGCAAGATAAAGAACCAGATCCGATTGGGGCCAAATAAGTTTCCTATATTCGTCGGGCAAAAGTTTTAGCTCAAAAACCTTATTTGGCTCTACCAATATTTTCATTTCCAAGTGTTGAGAAAGTCAAGGATGATCATCAAGATACTTGCCAATATTATTAATATATTGTAATTGATTACATTCCTATCTTGTATCATAAGCTGTCAATTAGTAGCTAGTTAGTAGGAATTAATTGTAAACATATGGCTACATATAGTAGTATTGTATAGAGAATTAATTCAATGAGTATCGATGAATTACCACTTTCTTAAATTTACATGGTATCAGAGCCCCTCCTAGGTTCTTAGTTCTTTTTATTTTTTCTTGGGTTATGGTGGAAGATTCAACATCTGGCATTGAAACAAAATCAGCAATGGCCAAACTTGAACCCTCTAGTGATCCTGCTAGTCTTTTCTACGTTCACTTAGTGTGAAGAACAAATTAGGGTTTGTTGATGGAAATGTTGAACAACCATCTATGAAGACAAAGCCCACAGAATCTGCTCTTTGGCAACGGTGCAACGATATGATCCTTATGTGGATTCTCAATACACTTTCCGACGACCTGGCCACCAGTGTGGTGTACATAACGACAACCAAAGATGTTTGGGATGATATTCGAGAACGTTTTTCTCAACAAAACGTGTCTCGTCTCTTTGAAATCCAACATGACCTTGCACATCTTACGCAAAGTCAACAACCTATCAATGTGTATTTCACCAAGCTTAAAGGTTTATGGGATAAGATGGATTCCTACCAAACTTTAAAGCCGTGTTCTTGCGGGGCTGTTCAATCCAACAATGAACAGGTGGAGAGAACCAAGGTTTTGCAGATTTTAATAGGGCTAGACGACTCGTATTCTGCGATTCGTGGGCAAATTTTGCTTATTCAACCATTGTCTTCGATTCGATCCATCTATTCTATGTTGACACAAAAAGAGAAGCAGAGAGGCATGGCTGTTGGGCCTAGCCTCGTTGAACCTGCATCCATGGCGGTTCAAACAACCCGTGGAAATAGTAGCAACAATGGAAAAGGAAAATTATTTAAGAGGAAGCCGTTACATTGCTCGTATTGCGATAAGGATCATCACGTTATTGAAATGTGTTGGAAGCTCTATGGATACCCACCGGGACACCGTCTTCATGGTAAGTCCAGTGGTTCGAGTAATTATGGTGGGCACGACAACAAGCCGAGCGGCAAACCTGCTGTTAACAATGTGGCATCCACCGTTGCACCGTCCATGCCCAATCTCACCACCGAACAATTTCAGCAACTCTTATCCATGATGAGTCAAAAGATGGGACTTGATTCCAAGGCAAATATAGTAGGTGGGCTTCCTTCTTTCCAATGGGTTATAGACAGTGGTGCCACTGACCACATATCTAGTCTTCCCTTGACTAATGCAACCTTAAATCCACCTCTACCACCCATGGCATTACCTAATGGGACTCGGGTTCCTATAAACTCTGTTAGCACCTACAGTTTTGGTTCCAAAATATCTCTTTATAATGTGCTTGGCATAGCTTCATTTTTTATCAACTTAATTTCCGTTAGTCGGATAACTCGATCATTAGGATGCTCAGTAACCTTTTATCCTGATTTTTGTATTTTACAGGACCTGGAGATGAGGACGATGATTGGTTGGGGGTGACAACGTAATGGCCTTTATCATTTGGTGGACTCCAAAGGGCAGACATCACCAACAACTACCTCATCTTCCAAGGTTTTTTCCATCACATGGCACCGACGACTTGGTCATCCATCACCCTTAAGACTTCAACTGTTAGCTAAACATTTTCCTGAAATTTCTCATTCTGACAATAAACCTTGTGACATTTGCCCTTTGGCAAAACAAACTCAATTGTCTTTCGGATTAAGTCATATTAATACTAAGCATGCTTTTGAACTTATACATTGTGATATTTAGGGCCCCTATAAAGTAGCATCTCGTTCGGGTGCTCGTTATTTCCTTACTATTGTTGATGATTTTACTCGTTGCACTTGGGTTTATCTCATGCGTCATAAATTAGATACTCAATCTTTGTTTAAATCTTTCATTACCTATGCCGAAACACAATTTCACCACAAAATTAAAACCATTAAAACTGACAATGGCGGCGATTTTGTTTCTATGCATACTTTCTTTAATGATCATGGCATAATTTTTCAACGCTTTTGTGTTTCCACCCCTCAACAAAATGGGGTTGTGGAGTGAAAGCATAGACATATTCTTCAAACTGCACAGGCTTTGCATTTTCAGTCACATATTCCCTTGCACTTTTGGGATGAATGCATTCTCACATCCATTTACCTAATTAACCGCATTCCTACCCCCTCTTATCGGGCCTTACACCTTATGAGAAATTATTTGGTCACCCTCCTTCATATACCCATTTACACACTTTTGGGTGTTTAGGATATGCCACTAATCTTCACCCACAACATAAGTTTGATGCTCGGCTAAAAAATGTGTTTTCATCGGGTATTCTTTCGGCCAAAAAACTTACAAATTATATGATCTTAATTCCAAACAAATTTTTACAAGTCGAGATGTCACATTTCATGAGACCATTTTCCCATTCCACAAAAATCCTCAATCCCAAATAGTTACCTCGGACCCAAATATTGGCTTTCCACCAGGCCCAATCTCATCTCCACATGCTACAGTCCAACTCTCTTCCTAATTAAACCACCAAATTGCCGACCTGGGCCTTTCTCCTGGCCCAGCACCAATCCCTCATATACCCATCTCTGCCACTAACGGGCTTGACCAAGTCCCAGCCCTTCTTGATGGGCCTGCTGTCTTTCTAGACCTGTGTCCAACATTTGCCCAGCCTGCCGCTGCTGTCTCTCTAGACCCGTGTCCAACATCTGCTGCTGATGTCTCTTTGTGATATTCCAGTCGCATCCGAGTTCCGCCGACCAAGCTCCATGATTATGTTTGCTCGACTATTACGTTACCCCCCGCCAATTCCTCGCTTTTCGGTCCTAGTACAAGGTATCCTCTTTCTAATTACTTGTCTTATCAAGAGCTCTCTCCCAAGTATCAATCCTTCATTGCATAATTATCTACTATTTTGGAGCCTAACAGTTATACAGAAGCTGTTAAACATCCCCATTGGTGTAAGACCATGGATAAGGAACTCCAGGCGTTTTAGGCTAATGACACTTGGACACTTTCTCCTCTCCCTTCCGGGAAAGTACCAATTGGATGTCGATGGGTTTATAAGATCAAAAGAAAATCCGATGGGAATATTGAGCGTTACAAAGCTCGCTTGGTTGGTAAAGGATACACCCAATTAGAAGGTATTGACTATCACGATACTTTTTCCCCCACAACCAAACTTGTCACTTTCCACTGCTTACTTGCTCTTGCTGCTACTCATTCATGGTCACTTCATCAACTTGATGTCCATAATGCCTTCCTTCATGGCGATCTCATGGAGGAAATCTACATGCTTCCACCACCCGGTCTTCGGCGACAGGGGGAGAACTTGGTGTGTCGCCTTAATAAGTCGCTTTATGGGTTGAAGCAAGCTTCTCGGCAATGGGTTTTCAAGTTCTCACAAGCTATTCAATCAACTGGTTATGTTTAATCCAAAGCAGACTACTCACTTTTCACTAAGAGAAGAGGAAAGTCATTTACTGTGCTTCTCATCTATGTGGATGACATACTGATAATGGGGAATGACTTGAAAGAAATTGATGATCTCAAATCTTTTTTGAATACCAAGTTCCGTATCAAAGATCTTGGTAATTTGAAATATTTTTTGGGGATTAAGGTGGCACGATCGAAATAAGGTATTTTCATTTCACAAAGAAAGTATTTGTTGGATATCCTAAATGATGTTGGTTTTCTAGGATCACGGCCTGCAAGTTTTCCTATAGAACAAAATCTAAAATTACTCCCTGATGATAGGAATGCATTAGATGATCCAGCCAAGTACAGAAGATTGGTTGGTCCGTTCATATATTTCACTATAACCTGACCGGATATTACATATTCAGTTCATTTATTGAGTAGATTCATGCAATCACCTCAAAAGTCTCATTATGAAGTTGCCCTACGCATCTTAAAGTATTTGAAAGGCACACCAGGGCAAGGCATGATGTTTCCCTCTCAAAATTCATTGAAGTTAAAGGCATATTGTGATTCCGATTGGGCAGGATGTCCTACCACTCGGCGTTCAACTACTGGTTATTGCGTTTTCCTTGGAAATAGTCTTATTTCATGAAAAAGCAAACGACAGAAAACTGTATCCTTATCTTCTACTGAAGCCGAATATAGATCCATGGCACCAGCATGTTGTGAGCTTGCATGTCTCCAAAGCCTTTTTCGAGATCTTCAAATTCAAGACCAAGACCAGCTACCTTGTTATGCGACAATCAAGCTGCTCTTCATATTGCGGCAAATCCGGTGTTTCACAAGCGAACAAGGCACATTGAGATTGATTGTCACTTTGTTCGAGATAAGATTATGGAAGGAAAAATTGTGACGGGATTTGTTCTTTCCATATCACAACTTGCTGATTTGTTCACTAAAGCTCTTGGAAAGGAAGCTAGGCAAGTTGGGAGTTCGAAACATTCACTCACCAACTTGAGGGGGAGTGTTCAGAAAGTCAAGGATGATCATCAAGATACTTGCCAATATTATTAATATATTGTAATTGATTACATTCATATCTTGTATTATAAGTTGTCAATTAGTAGCTAGTTAGTAGGAATTAATTGTAAAAATATGGCTACATATAGTAGTATTGTACACAGAATTAATTCAATGAGTATCGATGAATTACCACTTTCTAAAATTTACACCAAGGATGTTTTTTTTGTAGTATCACAAGTTATTCAATTATTTATTTATTATTTTTATACAAAGATATATGTATATTAGGGTTGGGCGATAAATTGGTTTTCAACTTTTGAATTCCTTTTTATGAGTTCTTTACTTGTCTTTTGGTACGACAAAAAAAACATGTCATGTTGGTTTCATAAACTTATGGTGAACTACTAAAAAAGTACATTAGGCTCACTAACCTAAAGTCTTATAAGCTTTGAGAATTCGACTTGGTCAATCATGTTCACAAAAAAAAGGGAGTTGAAATGTTGGAAATAAATCATGAAAATAAAAGGGAGTTCACATGACATTTCAAAAAAAAAAAAAAAAAATCCCAAAAAATAACCAAATTGCAAACTCATAATCATGTTCTAAGAAGATTATAAAATTGTCAAGATGACTACAAATCTGAAAATAGTACATCGCCAAACTTATTTCTTACTAAATTACGAGATTTTTGTATTTATAAAGACCTCATCCAAATACAAACAGAAAAACAATCTTAAATCTTAGCAACCAATAGGAAAGCAATCGTAATTTTATTAATACTAGAAAACCCTAACACAGAGAACACCAAATGCCCTAGTGCATCGGTTAATATATCAAAATGCTAATTAGCTATTTAAGTTTTCGTAAGTTATCAAAGCAATATCAAAATCAGTCAAAATTAGTCAATGAATTAAGATAAAAAAAAAAAAAAATTAGTGCCGTTTTTAAACCTAAAGGAAAACTAATGAAAATGGCTTGAAAACTTTAAGTTTTAACGATAAGGACAAAATAAAGGGTAAAGTGAATAGTACTAGGATTGACTTTTTAGGGTAAAAATGTGGTTTTTCGTTAAAATGAACAGTATCGAGAGCATTTCGTTAAAGTTCCCTATATTAAAAGTGGTGTTATTCACATATCTTTTTTTACCTTTCACATACCTTTTTTAATTTCTCGCTTTTGGATCAAATGAACTAAATAGTAAAGAAAGTTAAGGTTCCACCATAAATCAATTGGCTATATGAGGAGTAGTCCAACCTCTTATAAGCCCTTGCAAGATTTCTCATTTTATCAATGTGAGAATCTTTTACCTTCACATTCTCACGCATCTCCTCACTGTGATGAATTTCAAGCTAAACACGTGGACAACACAAATTTGGTGACGTGAAACATGTGTGGCCGTTGGGCTTTCACACGTGGGTCATTATGATACCATGAAGAAGTTGGAGTTCCACTATAAAACCAATTGCCTATATGGGGAGTAACCCAACCTCTTATAAGCCTTTGCAATGTATCTCCTTTCACTAATATGAGACTCTTTTACCTTCGCATTCTCACAACTATGATCAAATAACATAATAATTAACAAGATGTGTGTGGAAGATAAAAAAGAAATAGCTCCACTCTACATTAATTGAGTAAATGCAAAACACTGAGAATAGAAAACAGTGGTTATAAATTATAATAAGCCAAGAACTGGTTGACTTTTTATCTCTACGTTGTCCTAATAGAATTAATACACCACGTGTTATTTTATAAGTGAAGAAATTTTCTATTTTTTATGTTATTGATTTTTTAGCACAAGAATCTCTTCACTTGTATAGAAACATATGATGTATCACCCCAAATTTCGGGCATAGAAGAATCACTCGTAACATGCATCCTTATAAAAGTCATGCCATTCCAATAGTAAATAATCAAATAAAAGTCATGTCATTTATTATTTTTTGCAATAGCCTTGTAACATAATTTTGATACTACTTCGCTTTCTAGAACTCCAATTTCGCCACCTTACACTTTAAAACTCAATATCCGACTCATTTATCATTTTTAGTTA